GACGGGCTGGGCTGGGCTGCCGGGTGGGTGTTCGAGAGACAGCTCCTGGTACTTCTGGTAATTCATTGGCAGTCAGAGTCTTAGAAGTTTTTTGTTTGTTTGCTTTTTCTCCGTGGGCTTCTAAAACTCTTGTTGGAGGAGACAGCTCGTCTAACTGTCCATGTCGGACTGGAAACCATCTGAAGCAAATCGGGCAGCAAAGAGGGCCAAGTACAGAGAATGTGGTTGCTCAGCGGTGGGGTTTTTGGTTTGGTTTAGGTTTTTTCTTACCCTAGAGAAAAGCAAAACGTACAAAGCATTTATTTATCTTTAGATCACTTCCACCTGAAAATATTGCTCCCAGAAAGCTGTATCAGCTTCTCTTTTTTTCCAAATGATTGGTTTTTCCCCATCAAATTAAACTTGGAGCTGACAGGTGAAGACACCTCCATAGCTAAGACTTGGCTTAGAGCCAAGGGGAAGCCAACACAGTAACACTGCAGGATACCTCTCAAATCCCACCACTGGCTTATAAACATACTTGTCACTAATTCCTAAGAGCTCTGGTTTAGAAAAAGTTCCATATGATGGTGTTTGTACCCCTTTCTATTCACACACTATAATATGGGTGACTAGTGTAATAAATATCCCTCATTAATAGACATGTTTCTATGTATTGCAGCCCTATATGCTGTTCTGCTTTCCTTTGTCCATTGGCTTTAGGGCTTCCAGGTACCTGAAGATGCGTTAGACCTTGCCTGCTGTGTTCTCCCCACCCCAATCTCCATAGTGGAAGCTTCAGATTCTTCTCAATTGCAAACCGCAGCTTGAGCTATGACATTTTAAGACTTGGCTTGGATCTTTGGACATTCATCTAAAGACCTGCAAAACAAAGAGCTCTTAGTGGGGAGTTGGTACTAAATACAAGAGATAGAGTCAGGTGGTAATTGGACCCTTGTGCTCAGTTTCTAAAGGCTATCTTGATTACTGGGGGTTTGAATTGGCACTTTGGATGGCAAGGGCGGGCAGAGGAATCCCTAAGAATTTTGCTAATTGGACAGAGCATGTGTACAGGCAGAGGGATACTGTGTGACATAACCGTAGGCCGAAAGGGAAGGAAAAGGGCTGAAGCTGAACTGGGCAGTCAGCCTGTGCTTTCATGCCTATTTATAAAATTAAAATAGAAAGATCTGAACCTCAGGGATCTGCGTATTTTCTTCATCCACTTATGGTGCCTTCGTTGTTTCCATCCATTTCAACTTTGTTACCCAGCAGGACAGCATGTGCAAAGGAGGAAAGGTAGATTGTTTGGAGATTGGCATCACATACTTTTGAGTTGCATCTTCTTGTAGTCTTGTCAGCCAGTAAGCCTTGATTTTTGGAGTAGATCATAAGAAAGTGTCACTAGATGTTTTTCCAGTTTCATCCCCAAAAGCTAAGGAAAGATTTACCAAGTGGACAGGGTTAAGACACGTGCATTATAGAGATGGGAAGTAAATACATCCTGAATTTTAGTGTCTCTGCAAAGGTACTAGCAGAACACTAGCTTTGCATGCTCTTTGTCTATTTGCAGTCAACTAATACCCTGATATGTAAAAGGCCTCACAAAACCAAGAACCTAACAGGCCAGTGGGATGCTGTTTGTGTTTCATAGCTGAATGCATCACTTCCCTTCTTAAATGTTTATTGCTCAGACCCTCAATCCACTCACCTGGTTGGTGAAAAGTGACACGACAAGACATACAGCCTGCACCTGACAGGCAAATCGTGGCCTGTGTTTCTCTGTTTGCCTTTACATATAGTCAATTGTCATGACATCATGAATGTCATCTCTTTTTTCCATGGCAATGGCTGAGCTTCACATAGGGAGGGCTCAGAGGCCGAGAAAACAAATCTTTAGAGGGAGACTGTGTGAGCTGGAAAAGTGTGCATGAAGATGAACACTTGCACAGTCCAGCTTTGAGAGTGGAACTGGTAACTTCTTGCATCATGTTTTTTTTCCTTAGGTGGACTTACAAAGACTTAGTTGGTCTTCTGACTTGCCAGCCTACTCCCTGTCCACTAGACTACAAGGACTGAACATCCTGCTTGAACCAAGTGATGGAACAGCTTAATATTGCTTATTATACTCAACAGGAATTGTACCTTAATCTAAGGCAGGGTACTAATTGTCATGGAATTGTACCCCAGAAGGCTATGAAAAGTCATTTGTGCTAATTTTGCACTGACAGTCCTGTTCAAATGTATACAGCCCAAAGAACTGGGTATTTTTAGACATTAGGCACAGTCCACAAACCGTGATCAATTAATTACAGCTGATGCTAACCAAAGGTTTCTTAGAGGCTGTGGCTGCTCTACCAGCAGTTGATACCATTTCACTCTTTAACTAGACTGAAGGCAAAAAAGTTAAAAGATGTGTCCTGTGCTTGTACTGTGATTGTTCTTCATTCATTTTTTTTTCTTTTGATTTAGGTTAGACTATAGTTTAGACCCAAGAGCTTGTTTGACCCTGACAGCTAAAGTACAGAGGCAAGGGAAAGATTGTTGGTTTTGATTGTGAAGAAGCAAGCTTTCATCCATTTGCTTAGAAGCCTATTATGTTGGGATTGGCAAGAAATCTACCCACAGCTTTCTGCATCTAGGTTTGACTGAACACTCAGAAGAGAAGTAAGAAACAGTCCTCTCAATGGAAGATGACAATGAACCTGAGCAAAGCTCCTGGGCCCATCTACCTGATGTCTGTCTGAGGCATGTCTTCCATTGGTTAGATGACAGGGACAGGTCTCGGGCTGCCTTGGTCTGTAAAAAATGGAGTTGTGCTATGTACTCTGGATCTCTCTGGAGATGCAGAACCATCACATTCTATGGCCAACCATCAAGGGCACGCACATTGGAGTTTCAAAGTGCACTGTGGTACACCAAGAAATTTGGCAAGTATTTGAAGCACCTTGAGGTCAAGTTATCGAATCCTTACAATACTCCCTTTATCAAAAAATTTCAAGTGACTATGAAAGGTCTTCTTTCTCACCTGGGTAAGTGTAATAGTCACCTAGTATCCCTGAGCATCAAGTACCTAGAATTAGACGGCTTGATCTGGAAAAATGTGGTCAGGGCTCAGTTTATCAAGAACTTAGCTACCTTCCTGAAAAGAATGAGCAAACAGCTTGATTATCTCAACTTAAAAGGAGCAAGAATAACTTTGGAAGAAGGCTGTGAACTTCTGAATTCTCTGAGCAGCTTGACAAATAGAAGCTTTATATCTGAAATCAAT